CAAAGTGTAGGCTAAATCTAGCCTAGATCTAGGCCTACGTCTCATTGAAAACACGCCAAGTTGGTAGGCCTACCATAGTCCATAGCTCTAGATTAGATGCTCGTCCAATGAAATTAGTTGAAAACAAATTGACCCATTAGACACACATTATGTATAATGCTAAAGACAGTGTTGTTTTCAGACTTGACACCGCTTCACTCGGTGGCAATTGACAAAAAGTCAATTTTTGTCAATTGCCACCGCGTCACTCGGTGGCAATTGATGCTACCATTTCTGAGACGGGAGGGTTTCTATAAATTTACCGACCCTTTCAGCTTTTGTTATCATGATGTATTTCCCTAACATGAAACTTTGATACCATTGTCATTGTTATGATTGTACCTTCCCCTTTCAACCCCCTCCCCCAGGCCCAGAGTAAAGCGAAGCATGAATGCCCGTTGACAGCAAGCAATCACTGATATTAATGATATGCCAGTTCCAGTTAATCTGCCCGCTACTGTGACTTTGCTTACCTTGTAGCAATAAAATGAGCGAGCGGAAACATCAGTCTTGATAAACCCTGGTCTGAGAGACGTTTTGCTTGATGTCGACCTGACACTTGTTCTGCCAATAACACTGCCTGGTCGATTTCTCGAGAATCCGGAACCACCTGAGCTTGAGTTTGTCTCGGCTTCATTTACGTGTTGATCAGTTTGACCAATTTGTAAGGTAGCACCTTCAAATTCTTTCACATCGGCAGGTTTGTCATCTTCTAACGTAACTGCTTCGCTCCCATTCACAGTGCTCTTCTGACTAGGATCGGCCATGTTGACTGATTGAACTATTGGAACGCAATGAACGCAATGACGTTTTATTTACAAGAATGCAAGGTTAAAGTTCAACGTTGCGATTATTTTCGGTGTTTTCCGCTTCATTATTTCGTTTCATTCTGAAGTCGGACTTTTTAATGAGCTTTCGCCGTTTATTTTTATCGATACTAAATGAAACATCGATATTCTAGAATCTTTGCCCATTGCAAGACTATTGAAGAGAACAAACTCGACTATAATGATTTTATAGCGAATACGATTATTTAGTAAACAGAGACAGATCAAAGATGGATGGTCAAGTAAGGTCAGAGGACGTTTACGGCGAAAAGATCGACCGTTGCTTGTACAATGGTCTCGTAAAATTTGGTGAGTATAGTGCGAGCAAGCAGTTTTAATATATGAATTATATGACAAGATCTGAGAGTATTCGGTTCGTGCGTTATTATGTAACTCGTTACTCTCTTCCACGTTCGCGTGTTTCATCTTCCTCAACCAGGCCCAGAGTCGGAGCCCGAATCACCAAAATCTATGCAATACCAGTGCCGGTATTGAATCAGTCGTTGCATGTTCAAGTTCAAATAGTCAGTGTTCAAATCACTAACGCTGAATTAATTGAAATTATTAATTGAATCGTAAATTTAGTTACCCAAAGTACAGTGGTTGCCAATGACAGCCTCCTACTTTGAAAAATTTAATCAGTGTGGTCCTCCTGCACAGTCCTGTGGTTGTTGGATTTGGGGGTGATGCAGTAGATCGATCTATTTGACTTTGACAATGTTAGCTTCAAGCTTACAACTCAAGTTCGAGTGACATTCGACTACACGCAGGGTGTAAACTGGGCTATGATTGGCTGAACCTTTGACCCATGTATCCGGCTTACGGTACCCTTGGAAGTCCTGGTTTCGGTCTCGCACCTTTGACCGTCTTCTCACAGCACAGCGGGTTTGGAGGGCCCATAGAAGAAGAAGAAAAAGAAGGAGGATGAGGTGTAGATGGAGGAGGGGAAATGAAGAAGAAAAAGAATGTGGCGGAGGAGAAATGAAGAAGAAGAATGAGGAGGAGATGAAGAAGGAGAAGGAGGGAGGAGAAGAAGAAGAAGGAGGAGAACTTGTAAGAAGAAGACGAAGAAAAAGAATCTCTTGTAGATTTAGTAATACTGTTACAAATTGAGGACTTTTTCGTTTGTTACCCTACCTTGGGAGAGAGGGGGAGGGGGTGCAGAAAGCACTGCAGAGGTAGGGTACCGTGAGAGTGACAAGGAGGGTGTCGTCGAGAGCGCCAAGAGTAGAGTAGCCTAAAATAGAGGCCTACTTAATGTATTCTTGGGTCAAATGATCAACCAATGGTTGCCCGGTTTACGCCCTGCATGTAGTCGCATTGTTCGAGTGTAACCTACCTTAGGAGAGGGTTCATGCACTTGAGTTCAAATTAAGTAATAAATTACCCTTCCTCGATAACCAATTACCTTGAAAGGAGACTCCAGCATGAATGGACTGGAAAAGGCAGAGGCTAGCTGTACTTTTAATTATGATGGCGAGACTGACAAACAGCAAAAAAATAGGCCTACTGAACTGTAAATAAATTTTTTAGGTGCAATAGGCCTACCTAAAGTATTAGCCTAAATCTATAGATCTAGATCTAATGTATTTTTAGACGAAACCAAAAGGTGCCTTAGTGACAGTGCATGATTTTGAACCTAAATAGTTACTAATGAGACCTGTGTACTCAACAGGTTTTAGTCTACAGGGCCTAACCTAAGTACGGCTAGGCGTAAGTACGGCTAGACTTGCAGGCTAGCCATCCGTACTTAAATAGTGCGGCTAGCCAGTTTGTTAAAAATTGTAGTCTTTTTATTGTACTGTAGTCTCCGCGTAAATGCCTACGATACAACAAAAGCACGCTCCACTCATGTGCACCCTTTCGTCATATAATTCTCCCCACTCACTCAGGTCCCCTGTATGCAACAGCAATCAGGGAATCCTTTATAAAACTGTCTCGTTTTCTCGATTTATTGGGGCCTCCAACTCCCTTCCCCCAAGAGAGGTAATTTGACAATAATAGCTAAAATGTCTTTAAAAATTGGATGGTTGCACCCCATTCTCACTTTATACAGCTTCACATACTCGCGCCTAGGAATAGGAGCCCTCCCAAGCACAGTGCATTCAGGGGTAGACAACTGTCCCTCTCTGCCCAGGTTGGTACTGGCAAGCATGGTCAGAAACCAATGATCTCCTAAATTATCTAAATTGTGTCGATCTTGGGGTCGAAAATCATCTACGTGATGTTTTTTAAAAAAATGTATAATAACTTTACTACTCCTACTTTTAGGCCTAGGCTGTCCGAGCCTAAGACCAAAATGTTCCCCAACCCAGACAAATTGACCATGATTCCTATCCTGATCCTATGTGTGTCAATCTTGATTTGTTTTGTCTTTCAAAGCGCATTTGGGTTTCATTGTTTATGTTTTCAAATATGAATATATATAAAATCTTCGGGACAGGGGTTTGTCATTCGCGGTTCATGCAGGATTTTACTAAATTTCATTCTTTTTTTGCTTTTCAGTTGGTGGTGTTGGTGTTGGAATTGTTTTCTCAGCATTGTTGTTTAAAAGTAAGTATTAACAATTTGTTGTTTTATTTCATTTAAATTATGTTTGTGCTTTTTAACGACAGGTTGCTGTCTGATGGACTCAGAATCATAAGAATGTCAATCAGCTGAATTTATGTTTTAGAATAATTTGGTGGATTGTTTCTTATTTTGTTGTAAAAATATCTTTGATGAATAAAATCTAACAATGCTCCTAAAGATAAAAAGATGACATCTGCCCCTGCAAGTAACAGAAAAATGATGACACACAAGAAGACTTTTAAAACCTACTAGCATTTGATACAACATTCATGTTAACAAAAAGGATTTCAAATCCCTGTTTGTTTGTTGTTGTTGTTTTTTTCCTTTCTTCATTCTATGTTCTAACACAATTAAAAGTTCCAACAAATGTGTTGACCTTGAAGGAGTTATTGGCAGTTTTATCATTCCACCTGGCTGACTACTGACTCTCCCTTTCTTTTTTTTTCTTTTTTTTTTCTCTCACAGTAGCATACCGTTTTCAATACACATCACACGACATGCGCTCAAGACAATAGGCTAAGACCCTCCTTTAAAAAGTTTCTTTCCCATTTCCCATGCTATACTATACTATGGGTTAATATGAAACTTGAATTAATGGACACTTAAGAACGTATTCAAAAATAGTGTCAGTATGGTAAGCAGAAAGGTATTTATGTTTCGTTGATTATTCCATGACATTAGATAGAGTTGAAACAACAATGAGGGGAAAAATCTAAGAGAAGAAATTCCGAGGACGCCAATGCACAATATTCTGAACTTCAGAGCAATTAACAACCCAATATACGACTCACTCATGGGGATTTCAAAATACTCAAATGAATGAAAGAGAAGGATGGAGACACACGACTGCTACTATGTTTGCTCCAGACAAGATCCATGTCACACAGAATGTGTGTTCTTACTTAAAGTAATCACTTCGTATTTATCAGCCTTTCCTTACACAGTCTACCAATCCTTTGAGTTTACTTTGAGCAAATGAAATTATTGTTGTTTTAGATCTTGGCTTTCTATGTAAGGGCATTTATTTTCTTTAGAAAAAATTGAATGACTGCGCACTATTATAGTGCATGAAAATTGGATTTCTTAAAATGATGAATTATTTAAATCTAGAATGGCCTGGATCCATTATATCTTTTGCTTTCTAATTCTGTTTCAGGGAAACCATGGCCTGTTACATTAGGAGCTGGTTTGGGACTTGGCATGGGAGTTGCGAGCTGCAACTATGAATTCAAATATGGACTGCCTCTAAGTCGTTCCCCAGAACTTGCAAGTTTAAAGGTAGTGTTGTGATGTTCCCATTGATTTTATTTTTATCTTTGTTAACCCTCATAATATTGCTCTTTTTCAGCATGTCTATGATAAGTTCTGGTGACAAAGTTGTCCCAAATTATCTTGTTCATTAACAGCATCTGTCTTTCTCATGATTTCTGTCTTGGTTGAGGTGAACTTTTTTTTAAAAATAGGTTCAAGAGGGAATTGATGCTATGCATTAATTATTATTTGAAAGTAATGATATTGATAATGATAGTTTGCTGAAAGTACACTTCATGAGAAAATAGTTAAAGTTATGATTACTCTGTTCTATGGTCCAACAATCTGGTGAACATGGAAGACAAAGGGAAATTCGCCTGTATACTACCCGACCTTTGTGATTAATCAGTAATGCTTGAGAGGTGAAACAGGAGAGAAAAAGAAAGAGAAGGGGTAATCTCTTGTTTTTAAGTTGTGGGAAAACTTTTTTGAATTACATTAGTAGAGCAGAAATATGGAATAGTGACTTAATTAATGTCACTCAAAAAACAGTGCTTTAAATTAATGTTATTCAAATTTCATGACAGAACAGACAAGGTTAAAAAAAAACTACAGACTGAACTTTGGCACTGATGGTCAAATTTGGGAAAAACAAAAATTCAAATAGCCTGTAAAAGTTTACGTTTATTGAAGTCGTCCTGCTGAATAGTAGTTGTAGGCCTACATGTAATAGTAGCTGGCTGGAATAGAGGAGATGGGAACTTCAATAAGGGTTCAGCTTCCTTCCTAGCAGAGCTGAGACTCAAAACTTTTCACTGCAAGTGGAAGAAGCCCTTACTGCTAGATTTGGAGGAGACCCCCTCCAGTATGAGTTTTGGGGTGCTCCCGGCTGGTTCATCTGCAGGTGGGGGAAGAGATGACTTTCTCCAGTGTGGAGGAAGTCCGGGACATGGGAGAAGAGATGAGCAACATGGGGGAAGGCAGACCCTGCGCAGAGGAGTCGGAGTACTGTGACAGTTCTGCGCGCTACGTCCAGCCTCCATGCCGACCCAGTCCACGGCGTGTGGAGTATCCTCCCTACAGGCCTGCGGGTGGCTGCCACATGCAGCAGCAGTGTCCACCGTGCGGGCGGGATTGTTAGATAAGGACTGTTCAGTCAGAAGGCAGGAGTGGCAAGTTCTTGACAAGTGTGTCTGTTTCTGCTTTGAGAGTTGACAACTGTTGCTGTGGTGCGCTTCCAGCCCTTTGTTAATGACAAGTTCTTGACAAGTGTGTTTGCTTCTACTTTAAGAGTTGAGCACTGTTGCTTTGGTGCTCTTCCAGCCCTTTGTTGTTGGGTAACAATTTGTTTTCTCTACAGGTTTCATGAATTTTCCTGGTTATTTTTTTGCTCGTTTCATAATGTTTTGTGAAATTTTGAGAAAAAAATGTTTGTTCTTTGCTTTGTTTTGATGAACAATCGAAGGCCTTAAATAGTTCATTAACAAACATTTTGCTTGGTGGACTAGACAGATGAAAAGTTGGAATCTAAAATCAGTTTAGTGTGGCTGCTATTAGTTTAGCGAATATAATTTGCATGTTTTATTATTATTCTGTATAATGTTGGTGCTTGCCTGAGCTGCAATGATCCCCTAGAATACTCTTGTTTACTACAGTTGCCCCTTAATCTTCAGCAATTTTTCACCATTTGCTTCATTGAACAGAAAGATTGGTTATTGTCCATGACAACAGTATTGTATTTTTATGAAATAAAGTTAAAGGAGAAAGATCTTGACTCTGAATGTTTATGTATGGGGCATGTGCAGATGCTATAACTATGACTTGAGTGTCCTTGCTGTGTGTCATTTATACTGGCCTGTATCGCGAGCGATTTTTACCAAAAAGAGTAGTGCGGTACTCTTGATTTTTGCACAAGATATTTTGAACAACATCTGGTTGGTGGCGTTCTTTCTACTACCGACGTTTCTAGAGTTCTGAAGGCCTCTCCGAAGAGGAAGATTTTCATATATTTGATGCTTGATTGATATTAAATTTCACGCTTGTTGAACCCCTTCAGCGTTTCAGAAATTCTCCTTTATTGTTATACACTAGACCCACATAAATGGGCCAATTTTGGAATTGAGGTAATAGTAACAGTATATCCCTCCTTATTGTACATGAGGTTGCAAGTCTGTAACACAGATAGCTCGAATTTGTCTGGACTGGCCTCAGTAGTTTAACACTTTGGCGCCTCATCTCACCGATTTGCGATGTTTACGACCCAGTTTCTTTGGATTTTCCCCAAAATATGATGGCAAAGTAAGTGTTAATGGATCCGTAGTTCGAGGGATATCTTACAAAGATAAAGTATAAAAAAGAAGAAGAAAGAAACGTGACTGCAGGCCCAGTTCGACAGATGTGTGATTTCAGGTCTTCTGTTTTCGGCCTATCTATATTATACTGTATGTGATACTCTTGCGATGTTTTTTTTCTACTTTTTGTATGATTTGTCTTGTTCAGGCCAGTATACCAATAGATGCAGCCCTCAACATATTCTGTAATAATTTTGTTGGTTGTTATTGTGTAGCATGGTGTGTTGTCCTTCTTTTTCCGTTTCTGATGGTCTGATCACTTTCTTGGGGAAAATGTGACCGCTGCTGTGCTGAATCTCAGCAAAACATATCGCAACAACAATTTGGTAATCACCTCTCCCGTTTTGTTTTTCTCATCAGAGTTCAGCACAGCAACCTGAAACATCGTGATCTCCTCTGAAAGCACCAACATCATGGAAGGGACAAATTTCGAGTGATAACAGACCAGCGTCGACCATCTTTTAGTAATTAATTTATTCTATGAGTCCCTCTAATGTGGGACATATATAAATTGAAACATTTCGCCCTTCCCTTTGTTTGAAATAAAGCTGTAAATGCGTGCTACCGTCGAGTGAATTCGGGACGAGAGTGCACAAATAACTTGAGGCGTCTAGTTCCTTTTGTACAGTGTTGATGGCTGTCTTTTTATTCACCAGTGTTTTTTGTCGCCTAAGTGCTATTGCGTCACCTGTCTTTGAATGTCTCTGTAGTAGTGAGTCTGTCTTCAGTAGAATGTAAGTGTATTGTAACCAGACTTGGCTGTGGTTACGTAAGTCATCACTTGCCCAGCGTTTATACCATTTATACAAGTACAAGTGATAAACTCTTTGGATGCATGAAGCAGGAAGAAAGTGAATGTTTTGTTTCTTGATACATCTCCAAACAATAAAAAGATTGTGTCTTACCACTGTCTTGGAGTTATGTATGTTATGTATGCCTGTTGTTTCTTTACAGTAAGTCAGCGTGAAAGTTGGAGGATGTCAATGATCATTTTTTAAATAATGTGCTGTCTTGTTTCTAATCCTTCCATTGTTCCTGTCTTCTTTACTTCCCTGCTACTGGCATGTTCTTCTCTTTTCCTCTGTTGTTCCAGTCAGTTTATTCCACCGAATTTCCCATCGCAAAATGACTGCTTGTTATTTTGTCGATGTGCTTCTCATAGCTCAAGAAACACCCCACCAGTGAGTGGTTAGCAGGTGCTCTAGTGTGGTTTGTTCCTTCTTTCCTATCAAACATCTATTGTCCTTATCTCTCTTCCTTCTTTTTTTTTTGGTTTATTACTCTCTTGTCTCTTGTAACTCCTCTAATCTTCGGCACTTATACTTTTATGACCTTATTGTGTTGCAAGTGCCATAAAACTTGAACTGAAACTAAAAAAACACTCCCCACCCCACCACTGTGACCATTTTTACGTTTATGTGTAGTCTGTTTCTCTTTTCTTACCTCTGAAAATTCTGTCCCAGTCGATTAGTTAGTTTTAGTAGAGGTTTTACGGCGCTCACAACTGCTTAAGGTCATATGAGCGCCAGAAGATTAGAGGTGTTACAAGAGAGTAACTACTGTAACAAACATAAAAAAGAAGAAGGGGAAATAGGATGATAGATGTTCGATAGGAAAGAAGGACCAAACCACACCAGAGCACCCGCCAACCACCCACTCCCAGTCGATGAGACTTTTGATATATTTGTTATGATGTTCTGCTAATGGCTGTGGAATACTGTCATAGGTTATTATTATTAATTTGTTCATCCACTCAGATTTTGGACGTTTGAATCGGTGGAGTGGGGCTCAATTATTTTTCCATGCCTTCATCCTAAAATATTTGTGAGGCGTGCTGACAAAATGAGTTACTTCTCAGATTTTAGTTCACACCAATAGATCCTTCAAAGTTCAAGGTTGAGTTGATTTATTGGTACAAATTATAAAAGGTGAAAGTGGTGAAATGGTATAGATGTAATGCCCCTGTCAACACCGTAAGGCTATTTAGTAGGCTGGACATCCATCTCTGAAAGTACCAAGCTAAATGGGAAATTCGTGTAAAGTGCCTTTCCCAAGGACACAAAGCCGGACCCACAATCTCAAGATTAGGTGTCGGACTAACCACTAGGCCACCGACGCCACTATATTATATTATAAAAGACATAGTTGAAGAAAATGGCATTAGCTGAAAACGCTCAAGTTTTATCCTTGTGTTGGTTATCAGCGGATATCTCCATGCGTCATTCATGAATTGCGAAAAATAATTTATAATACGTGTATCATAACACCTCACATTTTCTCTCAGCCCAGTAATCTGACAGGGGGCTGTTTGCTCTAAATGCTAAATGATCCATATTACTAAAAAAAGTCATTACATCTGATCTAAGTCGAGTTTTAAACTTCAGCAAGATTATAATAATACAATCATGTACTTGATTGTCTCTGAGTAGGCCTGCCTCATCAACTCATTTGCTCCCGCAATGGTTGGAAAGTGTTGCTAAATGTATCAGTACTGATGATAGTGATAGGCTCAACTTCTTTATTTCATTTCCTTTTTTGTACCTGTATCTATCTGTCTCACTCAGTCTGCCCGTCTTGCTTTTTCATCAACTTTATTTCTATAACAATTTCAATTAAGTCCATCTTTTTCTCTGACAAAGACAAACAAAAATTTTAATTATTAAAAAATCCAATTCCTCAGACAGCCAGTTTGGATTATTTGATACACGATGTATGTACATACATGTGAGACGAGATACAGTTTTTGAGTTTTTAATTTATATAAAAAAAATAATACCACAAAGTTTGATGTTCATTACAAAGTTAAAAAATATGAGGTGGTGAGTGGTAGAATTTATTTCAAGATGTAAAAGAAGAGACCGAAGAAGTACTGATGGCTTAGGAGATGCTTTTTCTAAAATTCACAGATTAATAATGTTTGTTCTTAGCGTCAGTTGGCCCCCGCTTTTACTGATGAAGAAGTTTTAAAGTAAAAATGAGATCAGAAGAAGTCCTCCCTCATCCAACTGAAGCTACTTTTTCATAGTGGGCAGAAACTCAGTCCACAAAGCGACCCTTTTGGCGGCAAGTCGTGTCCTCGTCTGGGGATCGCCTGCTATAGCCAGGTAGTACTCTTGCTCCCGGTCATAACGAGGCCATGAAACGGTTTGACCGTTCGGTCTGACCCTGCTGGGATCGCCTGTCTTGGCGAACGTGCTGAGAGCTCCGGCGAAGACGTCAAAGACTGGCTCCTCGCTGGGCTCGTCTATGGCCGTGTAGTCCAACATACCGCTGCTGACGAAGATGGGGGACTTGTCCAAGAGGTAGACCATCTCCAGAGCGTGGTTCGTGCCCTTGAATGGAGAGCTGGGGTCTCTCAGCTGCGACACAGATATATACAAGTATAATATATATATTTGTTTAATCTATTTTTTATTTTTTATTTATTTTTTAATTTTTTATTATTTTTTTTTTGGGGGGGGTAGTCACGAGCCTCGCATCTGTATAGTATAAGGTCATCATAATATAATACATGTATGAGTGTGAGGGACACATTAAACATTTTCAGTTTTTAGAATTTACTCTTAGTCTTAAACTACATATATGTAAATCGATTTTGGATCACGAAGGGATCTTTTTAACGTGCGCAACTTGCACACGAGACCTCCAAGATTTTTTGCCCTTAGTCGAGAAGGTGTTATATCTTACCAACAATAAGATCAGGGGTGTGACTGAAAGTAAGACAGCAGTGAGAAAGAGCCAGTGTAGCAGTAGAAAGGCTGCAGAAAGAGTCTGGTGTGGTTTGCTTCTTCTTCTTTCCTATCAAGCTTTTCAAAAGTCTATCGTCTGTATCTCCCCTCTTTCTTTTTTTTGTGTTTGTTACTCTCTTGTTACACTTCTAATCTTCGACACTTATATTATGACCTGGCGCTCATATGACCTTATGCAGTTGCGAGCGCCGTAAAACCTCTACTAAATAATAATAATAATAATAAATGACATTTATATAGCGCTCAACCCCGAATAAAGTACACAGGCTCTGAGCGCTTTACAATACAGTACAACATACAACAGTAACATGAAACGTTGTGTTCTGACTAAAGAAAATTATTCCAAATATTCATCTTATTAATTTACCCCCCCCCCCTCCCCCCCAAAAAAAACCCTTTTAAGACCTTATTGTATTGTAAGTGCCGTAAAACACTTACTAAAACTTACCTTAGGATAGTGGTCAAACAGATAGAGGAAAACGTCGGTGCGGTCAGAGGCCTGGAGCAGGAGCCGGGCAAACTGGACAGCCGGTACCAGGAACATGGTGTCTGTCTGAAGGTCCACCATACCCTGCGCGTGGAGAGAGGGGAGGGGGGAGAAGGGAGGTTCTCAGAAGTAGCGCATTTCTTCAACTAGAAGAGAGTTTTAAAGAAACTTACTTACTTGCTTGCTTGCTTACTTACTTACTAACTAACTTACTTTTACTTACTAACTTACTTTTACTTACTTACTTACTGACTTACTTACTTACTTACTTACTTACTTACTTACTTACTTACTTACTTACTTACTTGCTTTCTTGCTTTCTTGCTTACTTACTTACTTACTTACTTGCTTGCTTGCTTACTTACATGTACTAACTCACTTAATTACTTTTACTTACGAACTTACTTACTGTTACTTACTTACTTGCTCGCTTGCAGTTGTTTGCTTGCTTGCTTTCTTACTTACTTTTATTTATTTACTCACTCACTCACTCACTCACTCACTCACTCACTCACTCACTCACTCACTCACTCACTCACTAACTTACTTACTTACTTACTAAAGGAACATAATATAGATCTATACATGTATAAGTAAGTTAAGGATTCACTGTCACATCACATTCACAACACAGTTCGCTATCTCAGAATTACAATGTTCTATCTGACATATTTTGGGGCCGGTTTGAGTTATATGTACTAAGACCACGAGGTCAGAAAGCAAATGCTCTATCAAACGTAAGAATATTCGGAGTCGTTATCAAGGTGTTCAAAGAATTGTATTTGAAAAGGCTTGGCATAATATGGTCGCTTTTAATTTTAAAGACAAGCGGGCTAACCCAGATTTCGGTGGGTTTCAGAAATCTTGACCTACACCAAAAGTGGGCATTGCTCTACCTATAGGAGAAGTTTGGTTTCATTAGTGTGTATATTTGTTTGGTTATAGAGAATACTCTCCTTGTCTTTTAAAGAAGCTAAACATGGGGCAAAAACTTCACCTTCGATTTTCTCAAAACAAAAATTTTCGGGATAGCCACAGACGCCACACATTTAGCACAGAGTATGACCGAAACCTGCACCTCCCCTCGACATCCTAAGGATATCAAAGGAAGAAAGGTGGCGTCAGTAGCCCAGTGGTTAGGCTACCCCGGACTCGTAAATCGTGAGATTTCGGGCCTGGGGGTTCGAGCCTCAGCTCGGTCCGACATCGTGTCCTTGGGAAAGGCACTGTAAACGAATTTCCCATTTGGCTCAGTCCTTTCGGAGATAGAAGAAGTTAAACTCGGAGGTCCCGCCTCTTAAATAATCTAATGCGTTGATAGGGTCGTTAATTGTATAAACCTTTACCATAATTCACCATTTTTCAGAGGAACGAACAAGTTAAAAAGGGCAATTTAAGCTTAAGGCTAAGCGTGACGAGGCGGTGGTCAGTGGGTCCTCACCTGGACGTCAGCCGTCCCCTGTGTGCCCAGGGGGTAGGCATACTCGTACGTCACAATGTCCAGCACGGCCTGGCTTGGGAAGTAGGGGGAGACGGCGTCAATGGAGGAGCTGATGTAGGAGCTGATGTTGTCGATCTTCAATGCCGCTTCCAGGGAGCCTGGGGGGGAGGGGGAGTGAGGAGGAACAGGCAGTGAGAGAGAGGGAGAGAGAGAGAGAGAGATTGGGGGGAGACAGAGAGACAGACATAGAGAGAGACACACAGAGAGAGTGGGCGAGAGAGATAGAGGGAGAGAGACAGGGATAGAGCGAGAGAGACAGAGAGAGAAGGAAAGTGAAACAGAGAAAGAGAGAGACTCCGTTTATTCAGCACGTTTATTTGTTTGGGTGTTTGTTTAATTTGCTTGTTTTAATTTTAATCCTTTCAGTGCTGTTACGTTTACTACATGTATGTTAGTAGTGAGAGACAACATGTTCCTTTTTTTTTAGTTTTAGCAGAATTTCCACTGCGCTCGCAACTGATAAGGTCATATGAGCGCCAAGGGGTGGATGTCAACAGAGAAGTCCTTATTGGGAATCAGACTTACTCTGCTCACCTCTCTAGCTTCAACAGCACAAAGTCTGCTTCGACTATCAAGGCACCCCGGAAATAGCGGGTCACAAGAGTGATAAACATACAAAAAGTAAGAAGTAGAGGAAAAATGACGAATAAGGATTAGGAAAGAAAAAGCAGCAGTTCCCTGTTGAAGTTCAGGCACAGTTATGAGCATGACATTGATGAATCAGCCCATTTACAATTACAATTCTAACCAGAGGCGAAGTGTCTATATAATGAAATAATCACTGCTTCCCTTTCTAATTTTGAAACATTGTCGCAGTCAAATTCACCCATAGACGTAAACCTCATAAATTAAATGTAAAAAGACGTTCATAATCACCAATGAACAATAGACTATGCCGGACATTCAAAACCGTTGCATTGCCACAGAAATAGCCTGTTCGCCCCTATCGGGCCATTCCATAAGCAGCCACAAGCTTTGCTTAAGTAAGCTTAAAGTGAGGCTGGAAGAGTCTACCAATAGAGTTGAAGGGAACATGTGCATAGCAGTCAAAACTGTTTCATTGCCACATATATCATGTTCACCCCTTTCGAGCCACAGTTATAAGCAGCCCCACACGCTGATTATGTCAGCTAACTATTACACAGGTCGAGTCTACCTCACAGATGTGAGGGGGACTAACTCCTAATAATATCTTGACTGCTGCAAGTGCTTGTTCTTTTTTCCTCGACTTTTTAACGTCCTATAATCAGATCGTGACCTCGATTATGACACCGGCTCCTGGCCGCGAAAAAGTAGACAAAAAACAGCCAAATGTGAAATAAAAAATTAATAATTGGCATGCTCTACCAAAGTGTTTCGGCTGTCTGGTATAACATGCCATTGTAGTACTGACATCTGCGCTTCTTACCTTGGTGTTCGTGTGTTCAAATCTAAAGTTAAATTTACGGTTAGTTGGAATAAATTTTTATATTTAATGAAATACTTTCCCGATTATTTTAACGGTTGAATGTGCATACAACATGAATTCAGGATTTGTTTTCATTCACAACTCAGAGTTGCCGCCTCCAGTGCCAGTAAGATTCTTGTGACTTGTGTGAGTGTGATATCTCCACGCCCTATCTGGTCCCATCTCATTTTGATTACCCTGTCAAACAAGTCAGCCTTCGCCCCTGATTCTAATATGCATAAGAACTAGAGATGTTAATGCCCCCCCCCCCCCCAACCCCCTTTTGGCAACAGCCTAAAGACACTTCATTCAGTAGCACCGCCCTGGAGGGTTACAACATGTTCATTTTGCTAGATCTAAACAAGGCCATAATATTATACAAGTATGTTGACTCTTATTGAGAATAGACTTCTGCACAAAAATGAAGCATATTATCTATTGGTATATTTTTAAATTCTCAATTAAATCTAAGAAAATATTCTAGAGAATGTTCAATACCGTTTGTCCATAACGTCATTCAATAAATATTTAAACTACAATCGGTGGAATCAGGCGCTCATCAATTTTTGGGAATATGGAGTTATCGGTACCAGCTTAAATGATGATCTTGATAATTTGTCTCGCTTTGGGTGGAAAAAATATTCCCGATTTTTTGTGTATTGTGTTCCTGGCGAAGCCTTTTACAGGGCGAAACGTTGAACCTGTATTGAATTTGAAAAATCTACTTACAATGATGATGATGATGATGATAACGATGATGATGATGATGATGATGATGACGATGATGATGATGATGATGATGATGATGATGATGATGATGATGATGATGATGACGATGACGATGATGATGATGATGATGATGATGATGATGATGATGTAGCATGAAGCCCATATACCCCGCCTCAAAATTATCCTAGTCAAAAAGCTAGATGCAAAACATGTGCTTACATGAAAGGGACCAACATTGTAGAAGGCCCTCACTTTAAAAGAAAAGTTTCTCACGACATCACCTGTGAAACCAATTTAATGTAATTTACCTCATCTCATGTAAAGTCTGCCCAGCCCAATATGTAGGTCAAACTATCCCCACACGTATGGTTGGTTTTGTATAGTGTTTTACGGCGCTCGCAACTGCATAAGGTCATATGAGCGCGCGGGACACACTTAATATTTCCAGTTGGTAGGAAATTTTGAATTTTGCCCGGGTGGCGGCCGAAGCCTACTCTTATCGATTTTAGACCACCAATGGATCTTTAACGTGCGCAACTTGCTCACGGGCCCTCCGAGATTTTTCGCCCTTGTCCGAGAAGGCTAGGTGTAGATCTTTCCTACCAGAAGATCAGGGGTGTGGCTGAAAGACAGCAGTAAGGAGGAGCCAAGGAGTAGCAGTGGAAAGGCTGCAGAAAGAGCCAGGAGCCCAGTGGAGGGGGCAAAGGGAGTGAGGGGGTGGGGGCAGAAAGTGGAAATGAAAGCAGACAACAGAACACTGCTAGAGAGCAGGAAAGAAGGTGAAAGGAGACAATTTTAGAGAAGAAAATTTTTCGGTCGCTACCCGGATTCGAATCCGGGACCTTTGAATGAGAGGCCAACACCTTAACCTCTAGGCCACGAGAGCCCCCTTCCCCACACTTAGAGCTAGGTTTAATAACCATAGGTATTCAGTACAGAAAAACCAGTCGCCCAACTTTTCAACAGCCCTGGACACAATAATGAAGCCTCCAATCTGCAGCTTCAGGGTATTGAAAAAGTTCGAAATCCTACCAAAGAAAAAAATCAAAGAGAATCACTGAAGATCTGGAACTTGGGGTCTCATCAAATTCTCACTGGCCTTAACATCGACGAGACACATTTCAGGGACCTAAAAAATTTACCACGTAGGGTACTAATCACCCCTTGTATCCCAGTACCCCTCCCCCCTCTCCACCTCCCCATCGGTCCTGCCTTTCCGTTGTATTCATAACCTCCACACGCTTGGTTCCCTTACAAGTGTGTATGTGTGTGTGTGTGTGTGTATGTGTGTATGTATGTGTGTGTGTGTGTGTGTGTGTCTCTCTCTCTCTTTCTCCCTCTTTCTCTCTCTCCCTCTCTCTCTGTGTCTCTCTCTCTCTCTGTCATTCTCTCTCTCTCTGTCATTCTCTCTCTCTCTCTCTCTCTCTCTCTCTCTCTCTCTCTCTCTCTCTCTCTCTCTCTCTCTCTCTCTCTCTCTCTCCCCCTTAGCTTTTTAGATAATATTACTAATATTATTTCTACCATAGTGTCAAGGATAATTAAGATAGTTTGTCCATCTATGTCAGATGTGGACAAATACGGAGATTTGCCTTCACAACGTAGTGGAAGAAATATAGACTGAACTGACTTGTTCTTTTCTACCTTCGCATTGAGCTCGATCCGAGCGGACAAAGAGTTTCCTACCTGTGGGGGATTTACAGTTTTTAAAAGTTCCTTTCCACATGTAGATATATAAAGTCAACTTACCTTTACATTTCTATTAATATGATTTGACAATACATAATAAACGTAATAAACTATACCCTTACCACTTTCAGCCATAGCATTCCCCTTTCTCTATGTTTCTGATTTGTGTTTATCGCACCTTTTTTTAGCATTGCTACGTAGATGCGCGCACTTTGGTTACTATAGCTATTGTAGTCATTAAATCTAACTTTATTTTCTGTGTGTTTCTGATGAAGCCCGTGAAGGGCGAAACGTAGAAGCTACATCATAAAATTTTCTTGGAAATTCTACAAGTCTCAACCCTGCGAAACGTTGAGCTATTAAACAAATTGTTTTAAACACATTTTACATTATGTTATTTTGTCTGAAATTCAAACAAGACTCTCCCTCCTACTCTGCTTATCTAATAATGATGATGATTATGATGATGATGATGATGATGATGATGATGATGATGATGATGATGATGATGATGATGATGACAACGACAGCAAAAACCATCACCTGCACGGAAGATAGTGCCTCGGAAGAAGCCAATGCCTTCACCGTTGTTGACGCCCACGATGTAAGAACGATCTAGGACTCCGTTTGCCTCCAGGTACTTCTTGTCGTTAAGCAGAGACGAGGGGAGCTGGGGGGTGGAGGGTGGGCGAGGGATGGGGAGGGGAAATGAAGAAGAAAGGAGATAAGGGGGAGTGAGGGGGAATGTTTTGGTGTTTTACAGTACAATGCTCCCACCTGTGTAAGATCATATGAGCGCGCGGGACACATTAAACCTTTTCAGTTTGGTAGAAATGTAGAATTTTGTCCAGGTGGCGACCGAAGCCTACTACTCATATCGGGGGGCTCTCGTGGTCTGGAGGTTAAGGTGTTGGCCTCTCATTTAAAGGTCCCGGGTTCGAGTCCGGGTAGCGACCGAAA